CACACACACACACACACACACACACACACACAAACACGAACGTTTTTCACTTTGGGTAAACTTTGGAGTGACCGTCCCACTAACTAGGCATGCAGCAACCCCTCTCTACTAGGGTGCCACTCATTCACCATAACATCTCTAGCTTAGTACAGTCGTTTCAAGTGGGTGGTTGGCGGGTGCTCTGATGTGTTGGCTTCTTCTTTCCTATAAAAAACCTATCGTCCTTATCTCTCCTCCTTCTTTTTTATTTTGTTACTCTCTTGTAACACCTCTAATCTTCGGCACTTATATGACCTTATTGTGTTGCAAGTGCGGAAAAACACTTACTAAAACGAGTCGTATCTTTTGGTTCTTTTCTCCCTGCTGTCAACTGTCTCGCACTCTCTCGTTGTGGGTGGTCGGAGGGCGCCACTGGTAGGTCCTACTTCTTTACTCTCCCTCTGTTGTTTCTGTCTGTCTGTGTTACCCTTTCCCAGCAGTCAATGACCATTATTGTGTCAATGTGCTTCTCTTTACTCAAACAAAACAAACAGAAGGACTCTTTCATGTTACTGTCTACCAAGATTGGTTCTTGTCAAGTACACCATAAGACTCCACCCCCCAAAAACACACAAACAAACTAATATAGAAACACACACATAGATAGACAAACAAACCCCAAAACCCCAACCTTATCGGATGGTTGGAGGGTGCCACTGGTAGGTCCTACTTTTTTTTACTTTCTCCTCTGTTGTTTCTGTCTGTTTCTCTTTTTCCGTGGGTGGTTGCAGGGTGCTCTGGTGTGGTTTGCTTCTTCTGTCCTATCAAACATCTATCGTCTTTATCCCCCTTCTGTCTTTTTTGTGTTTTTTTACTCCCTTGTAACTCCTCTAATCTTCTGCACTTATATGACTTGATCGTGTTGCAAGTGCCGTAAAACTCCTACCAAAACGAATCTCTTTTCCCCAGCACTATCATATGACCTTTATTGTGTCGATGTGCTTCTCTTTATGACCCAAACAAATCTATAAACCTCCTTTTTGTTAGTTATTTTCTTCTCCCTCAACCTCGCAGGTGATTGTTTAAGATCTTCGATTGACACGTTCTATATCTGTCAAGGAAGGTGTTACACTCGCTCAAAAATAAGTTCTTCTTTTTAACGTTACAGTTCATGCCTAACTGCAGAGTGGAGAGGATAATAACATTGTTCCTCGCACAATGGGTGGTTGGCGCATGCTTTGGTGTGGTTTGCTGCTTCTTTTCTATCAACATATCGTCCTTATCTCTCCTCTCCCTTTTTGTGTATGTTACTCTCTAATGACACCTCTGATCTTCGGTACTTACCTAGACGGTCAGATAGTATAAGAACGTATAGACACTTACACAACCCAACTGTATTGCAAGTGCCGTAAGTGTCAGATGTGAAGGGGTTTAACGCCCCTGTTAACGCTGCTGGATTATTTGAGTGGCGGAACCTGCAAATTTAATGTCTGCCTCCTATAGGACCGAGACAAATGGATTGAGAGCCTTGAAAACTCGACAAAACAACCCGAGTTCCAAAACGCCCAGTCTGGGATTCGAACCGTTGTCCAGCATGATACCTGCTGAGCTAATGGAGTGCCCAAAATAAGTGGTTGGAGGGTCCTTTTGTGGGTGGTTGGGGGGTGCTCAGGTGTGATTCGCACCTTCTTTTCTATCAAACATATTATATCGTCCTTAGTTGACTTCCTTTTTGTGTTTGTTACTCTCTTGTTTGAAAGCAGAGCTCTTCCCCAATCTCCCCTACCACCTACCCCACTACCTAACCTGATTTTCTACGACCCCCCCCCCCCCACACACACCCTATCCCTATCTTGTGGTTCAGCAACTGCACAGCCTAGCCGGTTATTAAACCATTATGGTAGATGGTTGGCGGGGGCTCTGTTGTGGTTTGCTCATTCTTTCCTGTAAAAAAATCTATCGTCTCTATCTCCCCTCCTTTTTTGTGCCTGTTACTCTCTTGTAATATCTCTAATCTCCGGCACTTATATGACCTTATTGTGTTGCAAGTGCCGTAAAACTCCTACTAAAGCTAAACACCATTATAAAAGGCAAATCACTCTACACAGCTTTCTGTTTTGCAGCTGTTATGGTCTTTTATGACTGCATCAAACAGCACGAGTTCGATTCCCGTGTTGGGCGCTCTGTCAGCTCAGTTGGTATCAAGTTGGACAACGTGAGTGGGCGGCCCTGTTTCGAATCCAGACTAGGCGTTCTTGAACTCGGGTCGTTTTGTGGAGTTTTTAAAAGCTCTCAACCCATTTGGCTCGTTACTATCTGAGACGCGAATAAAATTCGGAAGACCCGTCTCTTTGGGAGCCAAATAGTGTTGATGGGGACGTTAAACCCGTACACGTATTCACTTTAAGTGAGAAAGTCTGTTTTCTCCATTATCTCTGTCGATCCGCTTGGATAAATATAGAAAGAAACATTTTGGGACATTAAACATGTTCTTATGCACAGTAAAATTGTAATTGTAAATGGGCTTATTCATCAGGGTCATGCTCAACTGCTACTTTATCTCTCCTAATCCTCACTATCGTCATTTCTCTTCTACTTCTTTTGTATGTTTGTCTCACTCTTGTAACCCGCTATTTCCGGGGTGGCTAGATAGCCAAAGCAGACTTTGTGCTGTTGAAGCTAGAGAGGTGAGAAGAGTAAGCCTGATTCCCTGTAAGGGCTTCTCTGTTGACATCCACCCCTTGGCGCTTATATGACCTTGTGCAGTTGCGAGTGCCGAAAACCTACTAAACAAAGACCCTTTGTCCATTCGATTCAAGCCCAATAAGACTATTTTCAAAAGACGGAGCACGGAATGCTGCAGGGATCACATCTCTCGAGTGTGTAGATCTTGGTCTACTGTTGTTGATGCGTTGACCATCTTGCCTGGTTCTCACAGATCCATCTCTGGAAATAAGGTAATCTTATACCGACTGGAATTATACTACAGTTTGTAATCGCTGTCAGCAAGAAAGACTAGACGTAGTACCGACGCTCGTCAGCTGATGTTGATGTACGGCGGTCTTAGTTAGTGGACGTGTGCAGCATGTGCCGTCTTTCACACGGAAAGTGGAAAGTGATTCGTTGTGACGGAGAATCTCATCAGTGTTTGAAGATGTTACACTTCTGACATGTGTGTACACGCTTCCGACTGTCAAAAGCATGTAGGCAGAGTAGTACTTGTCTTTGTAGCTGTGTAGAAACTGAGGATTCAGTTCTGTTTCGCTCTGTGACGTCGAAAAAGCGAAAAGTAAATCCACAATTGATTATAGTATATTTATGTATTTTTATAAGTAGATTCAAGGGAGAAGTTGTTTTCGACGGTAAGTTCACTGCGTGAGTGAGTGAGTGTGTGTTTGTGTTTGTGTGTGTTTGTGTGTGTGTGTATGTGTCACTTGTCAGTAGCAACAATCAGACGAGTTTCTTGATATGTCACAGCGGCACACACTGTATTCCCTAAACTTAGAAGATTTTGGTTTGAGCTAAAGTATGGAATCCCTTTATTCCTTATCATTGCCAAAAACCTGGACTCTGTCTTGTCCGTCTTCCCTTGAGAGCTCCCACCCCCGCACTCTGTCGCGTCCTTCTGCCCTTG